ACTCTTTCACCTTTTTCTCTTTCTCTCCCTTGTTTGTTTTACATTGATAATTGATGTTATTTACAGACGAAAATCGGTTTCCTGTAATGTACTCCTGTGAAAAATTAAAATAATTATTCACACACATAATATAGCTAACGTCAAATAACAATAATTTAATCTAAAAGAGCACACGTAGATGTATAAATACATAAGTCGAAAAATAGAACGAGTGATTCTGTCCACAACCGTATTTCTTGAGTATTGATTTAGAATATATACATATAAGCTGCTAGTCGCGAATGATGATTTTATGCTAAATAACTTCCTTAATTACAGATCTTCTGATATTTAAGTCTCAATTTCCAACATTAATAAATAAAATATTTATTTCAGAAACATTTTATTAAATCAAAAGAGGAAAAAACGCGAATTAGTCTATTTCAAAATAGAAGCTGTCTGTTGTGCTCTTCAAGATTCAAGTATACTAAAAAAATGTGAAAGAATTACATTTCTTTGAAGTGGAATTTCTCCGCTGTCAATGCGAGCTTTCTTATGTGACGTATGGTGGACGCAGCTGCAATCTGCACCTCCGGATCGTCCGAACCCACCAAGCGCAATACGTGCTGTTTTTTTTAAAGTCTCATCATTTTCAAATTGGAATTTCCGAAACAAGACAAAACGAAAATAATCCCGACAATTTATCATCTCGATGCGTCGACGTGATAAATTGATTTAATCGAAATCTGGATTTTTTTTCTGCCGAAAATTTCATCTACAAGGATGGCTTGATTCGTATTGAAATGACACATTATATTGTAAATACTTGCAATGTTAACAGCTATAAATTGATGAACTTTTCAGTGTTTATTAAGAAAAGATATTCTATTATTTCTTGCGAGATAAAACAATTTTTCTTAATTTTTCGAAAATTTTGATTCGTGGGATTTCGTTCTTTTAATATAGAGCGATCCCATTAATGTTGCGTATGCAGACAACGTTAAGCGCCTAATGATACCTTAATAACACCGCAGGTGTGCATGGTCACGCAATTTAAGGGCTCCTTGCTCAAATGGTACACGGCGATGCAGACGCCCTTTAGCACGTCTTTGTTCTTACTGGTCATATAATTAACGAGCGGTGCGACGGCGTTTAGTTTGCCAAATTCATAACTATTCCGATCCCATTCGCAGCAATAGGCTATCGCTAACGTCAAATTCGCCCGCAAATTCTCATCGTCCTAAAAAAAAGAAACATATCTTATTACTGCGTGCCTTAACTAAAAATATATAATAAAAAATTATACGCGCCCGCGCGTCCAGTGCGATTGCTTCGTGGAAAAAATAGATGATAAATCTCTCTCAACTGTTGCGTATATAACAAAATAATTAAAATTAGAAACATAATATATAGCTCTCATTACACATCCGCAGTATTATATTGCGCCTAAAAAGAAAAACTCATCATTTCTATCAATTGCTTTTCTTTTTTCTTCCACGAGAAACAATCGCGCAAATAAAATCCGCAAAAAAAAAAGTTATAGTGCTAAGCTAACAGTTTCCACGAGGGCGGCCAATTTCCTCACGACCCCATGATCCGTCAGGATACCCAGATTCTCGGGATCGGCGGCGATCTCCGCGATCATGGCGCAGACTGCGGCGAGCACCTCCGTGTCCTTGCTCTCCAGGAGGCTGACCGTGAGCTCCAAGCCGCCCACGAAAGCGCGCACCATTTCCGGCGAGTCCTTGGCGTGCCGGATGCAGGGTACTAGAGCGAGGCAGGCGTTACGTTTGATCACGTCGCTCGGATGCTTCAGCAGAGACCAGACCAATCGCACACCGTCTAACCGGTGCTCCGAATCGTTGATGATGTCCATGCATTTGTCATCGACGGCGCATTCTTTCAGCACCAGCGGTACATTCTCAAGTAATGGCTCGTACGTGGCGCTCAACAGTCTGATCTGCAAATGTCCATGAAGTGGTTCAAATTCTGCGGTATCGCCGATAATGAGGTGAGGAGGAAACGTCACGCGACGCTGACGCGATTAATCATCGAGAGCGGTGCTCGCAAATCCTCCGATGTGCAATCCAATTATCGCCTCATTTGGAAATTATTTCTCAAATAAGGTCAGGTGAGAAATAATTAAACGCAAGTGGGTCAATGCAGTAATATGCCGCTGATGAAATTATTAGTGATTGTTATAAAATTACGCGAGGAGAATTAATTTAATAATCGTATTTGAGAATAATCGTTAACAGAACTGCAGCTATCGATTTCGCTCTATTTATACACAACAAATATAGACGGTTTCAAAATGCACATTTTTCGTACTTTAAATAATAATAAGGCGGTGTAAAAAATTTACGATATTATAAAGCTATCTGCAGCAAATACAAATTCGATTATCCGTGTATATAATACAATATACACATAGCTTTTCTCTGTATATTGCATACAGCTTTATAACTTGGAGAATATTTGTTCTGTTGCATGTATGTGTCTATTTACTGGCAAAGAAGAGAGAAGATAATCGCGGACACAAGTATACTTTCCAGCTTTGAACGGTCTTTACCAGTTTCGGTAGACCCTCGTTAGTCCTTAAGACGTCCCTGTTAGTGGGATCCTTGCAGCATTCGGCAAGAGCGCCTACAACATTGGCCAACACCCGCTCGTCCTCGTTTTCCTCAAGTAGCGGCACCAGCGAGGCCACCAGACCGTTCTGATTGAATCTCGTAACATTCTCCGGACTGATGGCGCACTTCCAAACGCTGCCGGTCACCGCGGCCAGTAGCGGCTTGTTGGCGCGTACCTCGTCGCTCTGCACGAGCTTGCAGAGCGGATCCAGACCCCCGGCTCTACGTACCATCGTCCGGGTCTCCCGATTCGAAGCGCACTTGAAGATAGCTAAGGCGCAATTCTCCTTCAGTTTCACATTGTCGTTTCTCAAGTGGCGCACCAACTCGTCGATCATGCCCACCCTCTCGAACGCCTCTCTGAAAACGTTCTGCAAACTCATAGAAATATAATACCAATCATGAGGAGATACTTTGATTAAAATCGCGAAAATAAATTGCGATTAGTTAATAAACGTTTCAAAGTTTCAAGATTAAAAACTCGGCGACGTAAATAGCACAAAATATTGTATCAAATAATTTTACAATATAATTAATGATATCGATGCATTTGACGTTTGAATCGATTTATAGATTGAATTCTTTCTTAATTATTAATTTAGCAATAATTACGTTTTCTATAATCCCACATTTGTTTGTATTAATTAAATTTGTTTTTTATAAATAAATGTATTATATCTTATAATTGATCTAATAATACGTAAGCTATAAAGGAAATTCGGTAAACCAGATCAGCGCACTGCTGCACGACGCCCATCGTCGGTATAATTAGCTGTGTATGTTTTGATCTCAAGAAGCGTGACATCAGGCGAACGACGCCGTGTTTACGAAGCTCCTCCTTGACCTTCGGACTGCTGCTTAAGGAATCCAGAACCTTGGCGCAACCTATGGCGACCGCCACGAGTTCTTTGTTGATCTCACTCAATTCGTCATATGGTCGACGGAGAACCTCGTCTGGCACATCCATCACGTCGAGCTAACAAATCAATATTTTGAGAACGGATTATATTAAAAAAAAAAGATTAACATCTCGAAACAATTCATTCGTTTTATCAATGTATATTTTTTCACACATGGAGTAAATAAAGACACGCATAATCGCAATTAGATAACTCACTATAAGCGGTATTCCGCCACGAATTCGGATCTGCTTTCTGGCCTTCCTGACCCGAGCTATAATTGCCAATGTTTCTGCCGTTAAAATCTAAAAAATAAAAAAATCGAAACATATTTTATATAATAAAATTAGATGAAAAACAGTTAAGTGAAATGATATAATTAAAGATTAAACATTTAGGATTTTACAGTATTTTTAATTCGTTGGCTGATAAGCTAACCGAATTCTAAGCTAAGTCAGTCCCTCACTCAGTAATTAGTCGATAAAAACAGAAGAAATGATTAGTTCGAGATCAGTGAATGACCTGGATATCTTTAGCAGGATGCTTCAGCATTTGGATTAACGGCGTCGTGATGTCCAAATCGATCAAATATCGTTTCATCTCCGTGGAAGTCACGATTTGCAATAGAACCGACAGCGAACCGTTCTGACACTTGATGTCGTTCGTTTCCAGAAGGTTTACCAAAACCTCGAGACCGCCCATTTCCTGGATAGCCTTTTGTATGATCTGTACTACCACGACTAAATTTTGACCGTGGAAATATGAGAGAAAAAAAAATTATAGAAATATAAAGAGAATATATATGCATACATATATGTAAATATAATTATTCATTTCCTTATAAAAAATATAATAAATGTTTATTTTTAAAAGAAATATATATATATATT